CAATGAATTTAAGTTAGACATATTTACTGATCACAGTGGATCAGGGGCTGTGGTCCTAGTGGTTGCCGGGTTCACTCTCTGCTTTGGTAAACTGCCTACTTATGTATGTAAAGTAGCTTTTATGCAGTTCACCCAGCGGTCTTCCCCACTATCATCTCAGTGGGACTGTTTTGGGGTCTGCGTGTGTGTGTTTATGTGTAAATAATTGATTGCTATAGAGGTTTTCGTGGATTGCTGGTGAGACTGAACCAGGCAAAAGAAAAACGCGCTTGACTGCTTTCCTTCACAGTGTGAGTAACATAACTTTACCATGTGTGCTTGCTCGCTGGGATGTTGAGATGGGGAGCTTGTCAGTGTTCCGTGAGTAGATTTAGTTTGTGTTAATGGTGCTGCAGACATTAGTCCTTAAATCACAAATTAACATCATTTTTGAGCCAAACTAAGATGCCACACATACTGTTAGAACCCACCCAATATATTTGATATATTGACTGATATTTGCTATTTGCCAATATCTTCTTATCAACATTTATAATAGCCATTAAATGAAAATTTAAAAAGTAAAGACAAGATAGGAGAAAGACCCTTTGACCATGTTATAAGTGTAGATGTTGCATAGTTTGTCCACACTCTGCAACTTCCCTGTCGAAAAAGACACCACGACCAGCTGATGTAAGCAGGCGTGGAGTATAAACAATTAATTCACGACTTGTTATGACAATAAAACAAGATTATTTTTAAACTGCATTGTAATATTATCTTGGTAAAGATTCTTTAAAAAACTAAACGTAACACATGTTTATCTGTATATCATGAATTATTCTCATGAATATCTGTATTCATGAGAATAAAAATATCGGTCGTTATATTGGACTTCGCTTTTGAGTTTAAAGCTATAAGATGATTTAGAATAAGTTATGAATAAACCTAAACATGAACAGTAATAACCAATAAATTAATTGGTTATACATACACAAAGACAATCGAGCATGCTGCCATGTTCATCCCAAATAATCAGACCTTCTTTCTTTAGACTTTTTTTAGCCTGCTGCTTACAACATTCAGTCTTTTTTTTTCCCATTTTATATCTCAGCATCAGGGATAGCTGTGGATAGTCATGTTCTCCACAGCTGTCACATGTCAGGCTCAAGGTCAATATAGCAGCATGTTCAATAGAATTTTCTTGAGGATTTTCAAAAATTTGGCACACTGTTTTTTTGTTTGTTTTTTGACTAAAGGGGTAAAAAAATCATTTGTTTGTTATTTTCTTTGTTTTTGCTTTTTTAATGTAAACATCAATGTCACTATGACCTTGTAACATCTTGCTGAAAGCAATATCTCAGGAACATGTAGATGAAATTGTATTCTGTTTGCGCATAAACAGTAAACCTAATCTGCTGGTCAAAAGTGAAGACCACGGTTATCTGAATACATATATTATATGAGTAAACGTAAACTGCAGTTTCACTGGTTGGCAGAGGTATACCACAAGGCAGAGAGTTTAGTCTCTGCTTCTTTCTTAATCTTTCTCAGTCTTTTACAAAGGGTCTTTCTCCTATGCTGGCTTGTTCTTCTTTGCCATCCCTTCTTTCTTTCTTTCTTTCTTGCCCCTTAGCCGCAGTGTCCTTGAGAAAGCAGTGACTTTGCCGGTGAGTGTAGCAGAGCGCATCACTCTCTCTCTTTCTCTCTCTCTTAGACTCTCTCTCACTGACTCTAACTCAACACCCTTGCACACAAACGCACCGACACACACACACAAACATTTGGTGGGTCCATAACACAACTGTCAAGCAGGACCACACTGTAAAAGTCTCTTTCCTTTATACTCCATGAATAATTCATCATCACTAACATTGGCTATATGGCTTTATGCAAATGTCGACAAACCTATTGCAGAGGAAAAACTGAGACAGTTGTGTTTTGTATCGAGCCAACCTTTTGCCCATTTACTTCTCTTTCAGGAAAAGATAGTAAATGATCAGCAAACTGCTGATACAACCAAAAGTTGTCATTTGTAGTCAACAGTAATATAAAATGTTGTGATGATGATCAGTAACTGAGTTACTGTTGAATTTGCTTGGTTTCATAATATGACGCTTTACAAAATTGGATTTATTGCTGAAGTTCAATTACTGTTTCTGATGGTTTGTTACCGAATTCTGACAAATTGCCCTCAGTAGATACTGGAGTTTGGCTGCCAGCATGGAAACACGATGCCTCTGTGCCCTCCCCCTCATTAAAACTGCCCTCCACTAATCTTGGATCATGACAGCCCATTGTTACAGTTTTCCATAGCTCTTAAAATATGGATGGGGTCTGATTGTCTGCTTGTAAGATGAGATGTGATAGACTCTTGTTGCTGTTTGTTCTCGCTCTCTGTTTTCCATTTGTATTGGGTCACCGCTTTTTCCTGCCGCCTTGCGTGTTTTCTGTAGGGGATCGTGTATCTTGTGGATAAGTAGCTGCAGTCCTATATATGGAACATGAGATTTGCAACTTTATCTGCAATGTTTGCTCAAAAAAAGATTAGAAATCATTTATTTATCCCATATTTGAGAGTCTGATTTAAATAATATTTACTGCAGTGTAATTTGCATATAGTCTGATTCTTCCTAGCAACATTACATATAGGTTCATTTGAGTAGCTCATGATAGTATCTCATTGCCGCCATGTTATCATTCATTCACTCCTTGTCTACGTGTGTCTTGTTCACACTTCCTTATGTAATACATACAGCTGAAAATGCTTCCGTAGCCATGGTGAGCAATCCCAATGGGAAAAGTTGAGCCTGAATCGCTTTCTCACTCTCTTTCCTTCCTTTGTCTAATGCCTTGGTGCAGTTTAATGCTTTCCCCGCATGCGCACACTTGCACACAGATGAGCAGGTCAGAATCTAAAAGCAGAGAAGATGCAGATTTTTAGTCACATGTTGTTTTAATTCATTTGACCAAGAAGTTGTTAAAAAAAACCAACAGACAGAGCGTGAGGATGGTTTTCTCTGCTGCCTGCTTTCCTTCTTGTTAGCGACCATGACCGTGGTGGCTGGACATTTGGCTGTGAAATACTTGCACAAGAGTCTGCTTGAGAAAAAGGCTCTTTTCTCAACCAAAGCGCATTGGACAGATAAACACCTTCACCTGTTGGATGTCAGTCTTCTAACCTTATAAATTGTAAAACAGCAGCAGCATTTAAGTTCAAGTGACAAAGCCCTCTAGCAGCAAAAGTAGCCATGACAGAAGGAAAGAAGGAAGTCAGAGTTGTCACAATACTACAGTTTCAAACTTAATACCGACACCCAGGAAAATACTCGCATCTTGATACCATTTTTGCGACAAAAAACAACAAAATCAAGAGGCATGCAAATGTATTCACATATAGCCCTGTTTATTTCCAGTGCTTCTGGTGATTTAGAACCATATTTGTGGTGTTGATGAACTAGAGTTGTTAAGGTCGGCTGCCACTCTTTCAGTATAGTGCTGTTAGACTTTTCTCACCTTCAAGGGTTTTTTTTAGGCGCACACGTAAAAAAACATGCTATCTTGTAAAATTAGCACCGTCTGTTAATGTTACAGACAGCCAGGACTGGCAATGTTTGCTGCCTAGCTCCGACACTAACATTATTCATTATTGTTTTATTGTTAGTCACAGCTGCTAGATCAGGGATGTCAAATATTACGTCCAGGGGCCAGAATCGACCCAGCAAAGACTCCAATCTGGCTTGCTGGAAGGCTTTGGAAAATGTGGGAAGAAAAACTCTATTTTTGGACTTTTAACTTCATTTTCACAAGTTTTAGAGCTTTTCCTACACGAAAGTAATTAAATTATAGATAAATCTGTAATTCTCCACATTACTTCTTGCAATTTAAGCCCAAAGTCATCCTGACAGATTTCTTTAATTTACTACAACAGCATTTCTTTATCAGCATTTCTTTATCTCTGCGTTATATTAAGATATCTCATTGATTAAATGCACAGTTAAACTT